ACTCCATTGATTCTTTCTTCTTTCTCAATGTCCATTTTTTTGACGACATCTCGGACAATTGCTTCCATTTCGCTTTGGGTGTATGTTCGTTCATTGCTAATAGTTGAATTGATATCACTCATAATTTTTCCACGAATGCGCGGCTTTTGAAGGTATAAAGGGAAAAAGGGGATTCTAGTATATTTTTTATTTTTATTATTATTTTTTTATCTATAAAAGGAAAATAAAGCGCGGCTCTTGGAGCTTGTTACCACATTGGAGTCCGAGTCGCAGTCAACGGACGTATTGTTGAAGGAACGACCAACAATCAAAAAAAAAAAAAAAAAAAAAAAAAAAAAAAAAAAAAAAAAAAAAAAGAAAAAAAAAATGGGGCACCAATTTTCAAAATGGGACAACTAAAAAATTTGGGATTTTCGTTTGAAAATGGGACAATCAAAATAGGACATTTATTTGTTTATTCTCAGTCGAAAGAAATTTCTCGAGAGAATTTCTTGAGACCGTCGGAACAAAATAGGAAATGTTATTATGCTAGAATCTTCTTGAATCTTTATTTAATAGCGAATTCAAAGATATATAAAGGAATAAAATTTTTATATTATACTATAAATCTTCTTTTTCGCTCGGTCATCACCAGCTTATTTGTCACACACTTTCCTATAAAGTTGCAAATATTTCTTTCCTAAAATTTCTTTTCCTAATATTTTCAATGTCCTCCCTTGAAGAACAATTTCACATGATGCAGCAACAGATCGCTGCCCTACAAGAACAATTACAGAATGCTACCACTACCTCGATGCAGTCAGCGGATGACACTGCTATCTTACCTCTACACTCAATGGGTACCCGACCCCATTACGACTGGTCCCCTTCAGAGGGTCTTGCTGAACTGATGAACTTAAATGCTCCATTGAACACTTCACCTTTGCTTACTGACTCCGAACGTAAGACGATCATTGAGTCTTACCCTCCCATGGCCCATTTGGATTACAAAGCACCCGCTACCATCCCAACAGCGGAGCGCCTTATGAATAAAGGCCAACGTTACGAAGACAATTCCATCAAGCAATTTCAATATTTGCTATCTGCAGTTTATCGTCCCCTTGACATTCTTAGTCATGAACTTGTCTCATCCGAAGCTGGCAATCCAAACTTGGAACGCTATTGTACCATGCTTCAGGATATCCGAAAATTGTTGTTACATCTCGGTGCATCAATGACGCAAACCCGTAATAACATTGCTCTTCGTGCGATTGATCCTTCGTTCTCCATGAAATCTACAAATGAAGTTAATTACACTCTCCCTTTGGATGTATTCCACGATACTCTGATTCAACAGACTGCGGCAAGAAAGGCCACTCGGGAAGCAACCATCAACAAACGCCAACGTCGTCGCTTCCAAAATGATAATTCTGGCTTGAACAGCTCTTCCTCAAACGTTTCCAATCAGCAGTTTTTTCGAGCAGGTCCACCCTCGCAGCAGGGTGGTTTTCTCAACAACACCAACAGCAACTACAACAACTACAGCAACAACAACAACAACAACAACAACAACAACAACAACAGCAGCAGCAGCAGCAGCAGCTCTCGTCCCAACAACAGCAACAGTGGCAACAACAACAACTACAACTACAGGAAGAACACCAACCCATTTCGTCAGTAACCACATCAATACTTACAGCTACAACACTCGACCCAGTAGGATGTCGTCTCAGCAAATACTATTTAAACTGGACAAAAATTCCCATCAACTCATTCGTCGACACCATAATTCAACACGGTTACAAGATTCATTTTCATACTACTCCACCTACAACAATAAATCCAACATCCTTTCACCCTCTATCTCAAGATCAAATACCTCTGATCGATCAGACCATCCAAGAACTCTTATCCAAACAAGCAATAGAACCTGTTTCCCTAGAATCGGTTCAACAAACACCAGGGTTTTACAGCTCCATGTTTGTCATCCCCAAGAAAAATGGAGGCATTCGCCCAGTCTTCAATCTCAAGCGCCTCAACCAATACCTTCACGCTCCTCATTTCAAAATGGACACATTACGAGAAGTATCATTAATGATCCATCAAAACGATTACCTAGTCTCAATCGACTTATCGGACGCATTCCTTCATATAGGTCTCCATCCAGACTCAAGACGGTTTTTACGTCTGAAATGGAAAGGTCAAGTCTACCAGTATCGTACAATCGCTTTTGGTTTAGCCTCAAGTCCCTATGTCTTTACCAAAGTCTGCAAGCCCATTTTAGAACACTTACGCTGTCAAGGCATCAGGATCTCTGCTTACTTGGACGACTGGCTCTTGGTAGCAGACAGCAAAGAATTAGCTCTTCAACAATCTCAAAAGGTGGTTTCTCTTCTTCAACAACTAGGTTGGCTCGTCAACTTCAAGAAGTCGGTCTTAACACCCACGCAACAACTAGAACACCTCGGCTTTGTATTGAATACCACAAAGATGACAGCGTCTCTCCCTCTCAAGAAACTTCGCGACATCCGGCGATCGATCAAGCAAGTGTTGGACAAGCCCAATCGTCAAACTCCTCGAGTAATACACAGCTTGACGATGCGAATACAGGCAGCTACGTTTGCAATTTTTCCAGCTCGACTGTATACTCGACATCTCCTATATTACAAGAATCAAACGGTCAAGACGGATGCCGATTGGGACAAACCTCGACCATTAGATCAAGCCAGTCTGGAGGAACTCTCATGGTGGTATCACAACCTCAAGAAATGGAACGGTCGTTCATTCCTACCATCAACACCGACTCAAACTATTTTTGTGGATGCGAGCGATACGGGTTGGGGCTACAGTTGGAAACAGCATCGAGCTCATGGTTATTGGACTTCAATGGAGGCGGAGCAATCAATCAATTGGAGAGAGCCTAAAGCGGCCCCACCTGGCTCTCAAGACTTTTCCCATTCCGGAGAACTCTACAGTGCTGATCAAGACAGACAACACCACCAGTCTTTCATACATCAACAAACAAGGCGGGACACGTTCTCTCCCATTACTGGAACTGGCAACCGAAGTTTGGAATTGGTGCCTTCACAACAAGATAATGATTCAAGCACAACATATCAGTGGAATACACAACACTATAGCCGATATGGAATCTCGTCGAACATTTTTCAAGAATCAGTGGCAAATCCGCCCATCGATTTTCCACCAGATGAATCAACTGTTGGGCCCGTTCTCGATCGACCTCTTCGCCGACAGGACAACCAAACTGTTACCAAAGTACGTGTCTTGGCTTCCCGATCCGGACGCTATCCATACGGATGCGTTTACCATCCCATGGACGAAGTTTCCACATCCTTACATCAATCCACCTTGGAACCTCATCACTCGGGTACTCCACAAGATTATACGAGAAAAACTTCCCCGGGCCACTCTAGTTGTGCCATACTGGCCCAGCGCGATTTGGTTTCCTCTAATTCAACGTCTAGCACTAACGGATCCATGGCTCCTGCCCCCACAATCGGTGCAAACGACATCCCCCAAGACTCCACACCCACTGTTACCTCGGAATTGGATGCTCTCCGTGTGGACATTATCAGGAATAAACTAGTGCGTAAAAACCTCAATGCACAAGCGGTTGAGGATCTACTAGTAAGGCAGTTGGCAAACAATGGGACTAATCGGGGCTACCGTAAGAGTCAGTTACGATTTCTGGCCTGGGCTACTAATAATGGGATTTCTTATACGGCTTACACTCCTACAGATCTAGTAAACTTTCTGGCTGACATGCGTCAAGAGCATAATCTACTGGCTTCCACTCTTAAGTCTTTACGTACAGCGGTGGCTCATCTCCATGACAACTCTAAAAGTATTAGCGAAAGTGAACTGATTAACTCTTATATAGACCATATGTCAAAGGAAGATCCTCCAGTATCTATACACCGGCCAACTATTGATGTGTCTCCAGCTTTTGCCTATGCTCGATCTATTGCTTCCAAATCCTCTACTCCAATCCTGTTGTTGCAACAGAAATTGGCTTTTCTCCTGGCAATGGCTGCTTTTCTCCGTCCGTCTGACCTGGTTCGTATCCCCTATGCATCGTGTTCCGTACTAGAGAATGGTCATCTTCAGTTTCAAGTGGTCGCACCGAAAGAAACTCGCAGTAAACGCCGTATTATCAAACCTTTCACGGTTCACCCACATACCGAGGATTACGAATTATGTCCCGTTCAATGCTTTAAAGCAATCCAAGATCATCCGGCACTACAAGCTCGTCCAGACAATTCGACTCTCTTTGTCAAGTTCAACAATATAAAAGAATCGTTATCCGCATCGACTGTTTCTAAGTGGTTACATCGTCATTTCATCTCTTTGTGTACAAATGAACCTGGGGTCTCTATTCGATTGTTGGCATCTTCTAGGGCATTAGATCTAGGTATTTCTCGAGACAGCATTGTGGCTCTTGGTAACTGGGCTTCATCAGAAACATTTGTTCGTCATTACCAGCGGAATCAAATGGCGCAAGTTGACTTTACATCGACGATTCTATCCAGTCAAGACGAATTTTTTGATGCTTCTGATTCCTTTCAAGCTCTGGATTAGCATAATAACATTTCCTATTTTGTTCCGACGGTCTCAAGAAATTCTCTCGAGAAATTTCTTTCGACTGAGAATTGCTATTTAGACCTGAAGAACAAAATAGGAAATGTTATTATGCCCACCCTTCAAAAAATTTTTTATTTACTTTATTATATTTAGTTTTTCCCTCCCTTCTTTCTTATTATTTGACCGAGCTCAAATTCGATTGATAGTATAATATAAAAATTTTATTCCTTTATATATCTTTGAATTCGCTATTAAATAAAGATTCAAGAAGATTCTAGCATAATAACATTTCCTATTTTGTTCTTCAGGTCTAAATAGCAAGTTATGGTCACACCTTTTTACTTTGTTTTCTGGGCAATACATTAAAAGCTTTTTTTTTTTTTGGAGCTATCTATCTTCTTTTAATTTTTTTCTATAACATGAGCGATAACATTAATATGGATGGCCAAGTAATGCCTGTTATTGTCCAATCTTACATGGATTGAGAAAGATTTTCAGCAATAAACGCTGAACAAAAAAAAAAAAAAAAAAAAAAAAAAAAAAAAAAAAAAAAAAAAAAAAAAAAAAGATGAAAAAACAAAACAATGTATCTTCCAAACTTCGACAGCTGCTACAAAAATGCGAGGGTCGTATATTTCAAAAAATGAACCAAAGGTAGTAGACCTGATTAATTTAATGCAGGACTTTGAACACCTACCTATTAGAGAAAGGGGCTATCAAGGTAAGGCTTTCAAAGTCAACAGCCGCACGTAAGTTTAAAGAATGGAACGAAATGAAAAACGATTCTGACCAAGGAGGTACTCCTGATACTATCAGTCCCAAGGAATACAAAGGTCGAAGATTAATACTTAAGGACGTGTTGTGGTTTACAGGTAAAATATAATAAAATAGAAAATGAGAAATAAAAATAAATAGAATAAAACAGACAGAAGAAGTACGTTGAGACTTGTCAATATAGTTTATTAAGAGTTAAGTTCAATTATAATTATAAGTGTAATTGCACAAAATAAGGATTAGTAGTGTAAGAGTATTTATATATTTTGTGGATAAGGATGACGAGTAATAAGAAGATAAAAATATAACAAAATTGTATTTCATAATATAATTATAGAATGATTATTAAGAGTTATTATAGATATAGATCCATGTCTTTTGTATATATTTATTTTTATAACTAATATGTGTTCTCTGAGTGGAATCAATTATTACGCGTATTTATATTATTCTTAGTTTATCCGCAGTTTGACTTGTAAAGTTATTTCCATAAATTTATATTCATAAGAACAATAATAAAAGAAGATATATTTTTAGATGTAAGACTTTTATTAATTATTTTTCTATACAAGAATAAATATATTTAATATGTCTATACACAGACTTATCATACAAGTGCACTATATGCTCCATTATGACTACTTATCTTATTGAATTAAGTTACAAATCTTACAACTATAGCATCTTAGGACTCCAAAAAAAAGCTAAAATACAAAAACTGGCTAGACTTGGTGTTGAATGACTCCAACCCAAGTCTCAACTATTTCAAATTTGCAAACACCTTTAAAATACAATCATTTTTGCGACCAACAACTGATTATACTGACCTACTGCAGAAACTTTTAAAAAATCAATCCAATAAGCTTACGAGAATCGCCTATGCTGAAAAAATTATTATTTGATGTTGGTATATATTATCAAGGTATGAAACATGCTGCAAATATTAACAAACTTTTAGATACGAGATGATATAAACACAGAGTTTGGGGTGAAGTACGCTACGTATTGGGAGCAAAGAAATGACAAATTAAACATGCAAAGACGTCTCAGGATTCAAAATCAACAGATAATAGAGCGTTTCAACCAAATTACAAACAATGAAATAATAGGACTTGCCGAACAGGTTCTGTATTACTTTTATACTTCAATGCAAGTCAATCCAGAATAGTTCAAGTCATTAATATTTTAAATCACTTAGGCCTCCAATTTAGATGAAGTTTTTAATGAGGCAACAGGCGATTCTGAAGAAGTCAACGAGAAGGAAGTGGTACTGAAGGTGATATAGTGAAAGTGGTACCAATGTTGTTTTACGGCAAGCGGCAACTCTCGCATCTGATAAGCAAATATTTGTTAATATTAACATATTGGTTCATTCACAAAATTAATAATATAGGTCAAGTAGAATTGGTAGATTACAAATTATCGATTTATCATCAACAATAACACGGGACATATTAAAAACAAAGATACCTATTGATAGCTTTAACTCTATTATTAAAACATCTCAAATCAATCCAGACCAAATGTCTGATTATGCCAATGAGATTACTAATGCACGTGAAAACTTACCTTTATCATTACGTGAATTACGCCAAAATCTGTATAATGCCGGATTTTATCAAAATTTTTGATCTTGTTATCAATGAGGATGTTGGTTTTATGGAACTAACCATAAGGTATTAGTAAATAGCATAAGTAATATTTGATTAGAAGATCATTTATATTTACGAATCGCTAATACCCACATATGTAGCTTAGATTTGATGAGCTCTCCTAACAACCCTTTGAAAAAAAAATCATGCTTGAGAGAACAGCGGCCAGTTATCTGATTTTTTTTTTTTTTTTGTTGTATAGATTAGTCTCCAATCCTCTTTGGCAAAAATATAAAGCTATTGCTATATATATTGGTTCGGCGTGTTTTTAAATTGCTGAATCAACAATTTCTACAAGAAAGTCATGACACTCTCTGGAATGGCCCAAAATACCCAAACGATTTCTACTTGACGTCCAACCTTGGTAACTGATCCTATTTTATGGCTCCTAATGACACGCATGGAGCGTAGTCAGATACTCCGTTGGCGTCTTGATTGGCTCCCTGATGGAAAACCTCATCTCTGTCCTTTTCATCCTGCAGTTCATCTTTCTCGTGCCCATGCTACCGAATGTCTGCATATACACCGTCGTCTACAAATGCCCCAGATTCATCAAAGACCCTCTTTCTTTCTTACTAAATTTATTACCCATGAAAAAACAAAAAAATGTTCCATTTATCTCTTCCTGATCTGTACGTTGGCCTGAAATTTGTCTAATCCTACATAGATTGGATCCTATTTTTCATAGTAGGGATCTTCCTTCTCCTTCAGCTGATATTTGTGCTAGTTTGGTGGAATGGTTGCAATGATAAAAATGCTAGTATCTCTGTCGTGTTTCTATCTTTCTTTCGTTTTACTTTCCTCCCTTTTATTTTTTCTTTATTCTTCAATACTATTTTCATTTTCCCTCTTGACCTCTATGAGGCTTTTTTTTTTTCTTTCATAAATTTATCATTTAAACGTAGCATGAAGTGCATTTTTATTTAGATTCTTTTTGTGTCTGTGTATGAAACAGTTTATTGTTCTTATATTTTTTTAATGCATTTATAATTAAGGGGATAGGTAATAAATAATAATGTTTTTATTATTATTATTATTATTATTGTTTGTATCATTGATCATCTTTCTCTTTTCTTTCATATTCTGCCAACTCCAGCTTTGCCTTATCTACGTCAATACAACAAATAATGATAGTTGCAGCTACAAAGAGACTCAAGATAAAAGGCCACCCTTTCCAAATATTGGATGTTGATTGAGTGATGGCACCAATAACGACAGGTCCAATCCAAGAAGAGGCCTTATTGACGACACCAAAGAGACCGAAAAATAGGTTTTCTTTCCCTTTTGGGGTTAATTCAGCTAGCATGGTTTGCTGCCATGCCCAGATAGGCGCAGTAAATAAACCTGACCAGACATTCAGGATCCATAATTCTCGATTCGTCTTGATACCAAATGTATCAAATCTGATACCAAAGCAACCCCAGAGTGGTATCAGACCCGTGAGTACAACAATAGCCAATAATGTAGTTTTGGTTCTAATTTGAAATCTTTTAGAAACCCATAAAAAGGCGAGACAACCGATAATGGACGTGACAGCAGTGACAAGGCCAAAGATCACATTCTGTTGTGCAGAAAAGCTCGTGAGTTCACCCTGAATAATGGTAGACATTTGACCAATGGTTGATACTGCATCAGAGAACATAAAATACGCAAAGATGTACATGAACAAATAGCGTAATTTACGTATCTCCCTAAAAGTAGATAATAACAATAAAAAGTCACTATATACATATATACATATGTGTGTATATAGAATGCTTTCTTTTTTTTTTTTTTTAGTTTGGTTTTGGTTTTACTTGAAAGCTTCTAAAATAGATTTCCAACCTAAAGTGAAATAATTGGCAGTAGTAGGTAAAGGTGGCCCTTGACGCCCCTTTGGCATAAAAACAAAATAAGGTACAGCATTTATAGCCCAAAAGATAGCACAGGCAAATGTTGAAATAAAATTATAAAATGGAGCATTGCCTAACATATGAGGTACACCTTCTGGGAATTGATAATTCTCCCAATAAACAAAAGAAATACCTGATAATAAACCTGACATGATTAAAAATCCAATGTTTGAAAATGTTGTAGAAATCGCAGATACTTCATTTCTCCAGCGTTCGATAACATACTGTCGATCTGATTCGGATAAATTTCGATTCGCTTTAGCATGTCTTACTACAGGTAAATTATCACTAATTAAACAGGAGAGAAAACAAAAACAAAAACAAAAGGTTAAATTTATATAAAAGAGGAGATAAGGGGGAGGGAGGGGGGGCTTTTTTATTTATTTTTTATTTATTTTCCTTTTTTTTTCATACCTTAAATTTGGAAATGCAGCAGAATAAAATACAAGTGAAGTACCATATGAAATAAGTGCTATAATCATAATACCCATCATTATATTCCAATGTTGACCATCATCATTGATAAGCGTCATAGGCAACGCTTGAAATAAACATCCAATTATTGTAGAACCCAATAGAATATATCGACTCCAATGTCCATAATCAGCAAGACTACTAAAAGTCGTAAAGAGAATGAATTGGATAGAAAAGGCGATAGATTGAACATATAGAAGCATAGATGATACAGGAATACCATTTGGGGAATTGATCCAAGCAACATGACAAGGCGAGTTTACAGCGTCTTGCATATTACAACCTTCCTGTGGGTTTTGAGGATTAAATCCCCCACGATAGGCTAAATATTGTAATATAATAGGCATAAAACCATATATTGTATATCCATTATTCTGCGAAAAAAAAAAAGAAAGGCGTTTTTTTTTATTATTATTATTAGGTACTTTTTTGATCTACAACTATTAGTCTATTTCCTTTTGTATTTTACACCATTATAATATAAATAGTAGCTCCATAGTTCCCATTTAGTTGCTTGTGGTTGATTAAATAATAATGTTTCATCTTCTGGATTTAAAGTCAAATCAAATGGATCTAATTTCTTATCATCATAAAGTGCTTTTTCATCGTTATGTTCCATTAAATCATTATTACTTGTAATTGGCAGTGTCGACATGCACTTTAATATAAAATGAAGAAATAAAGGAAAAAGGAACTGGAAAAGAAAAAGAAATTAAAAGAAAAAGAAATAATAAAAAAAAAATAATAACCTGCATGTATTTAAAGATTTTATTATATGTATTCATGTGTGTTTATTTATAAATCTTCTAATTGAATTTGATCCAATACAGGTAAAATGTTCTCCCATATAGAAATACTCTATTCTTAATATTTAGTATTCAAATAAATAAAAGACTTCTTTGTCTAATTTTTTTTTTTACCTTTTTATAGAAATCAATATGACAATCAGCATAAGCAGCTAATCCTTGCTTTAGTTCAATTTCTTTGGATTTTTTAAATATTTCATATTCTTTCATCATTTGACTCGAATATTTGTTACTAATATCATTTGCCTTCGTCACTTCATCCTGGAGCTATTATTTCTTTCATCGTTAGTCTAAGCAAACATATCACTACTCAATTTATACTTGCCTCCTTTATTTTTCTTTCTAACCTAAAGACCCTTTCAGTCCTTGCTTTCCCATTATCACTCATCTTATCTTGCATAATATCCGTGATGTTCATGTTGCCTGCAGCAGCTCTGCCCAAATTTTTACCAGGATATAATAGCCTTTCTCTTTCAAGTACAATAGATTGCAATGCAGCTGAAACATCTTCAAAATTAACTTGTTTTTGATCTCTTTCAATCAGTTGTTCCTATGAATGATATAAAGGAATGCTAAATAATTATACATTTCTATTCAAATTGCATCTATTTATTTACTTTAGTTGCATGACAATAGTTAATCAACTCGTGTACATCATTCAAAAACAATAAATCTTCTTGTTTTCTCTAGATAATATAAATAACATAAATTAAATTATATTATTATTATTATTATTATATACCATTTCTTTTAATGCTTCTATATAGGACTCTGTTGCTTCTGCAAATTGTCGTAATGGCTGGTCTACATTTGTTTCTAATGCAGATAAACCACGAATACTGCTTGCAAATAAACTATAATTCTGTTCCAATTCTATATTAGAACAGTATGAGTCCAAAAGAAGAAGAAAAAAATAGCATATCATGCATTACTTACCTTGTTGTCTTTTGCCAATTCGATGGTATAATTTTTCAACAATATTCAAGTTATCTTCAAATTTATCTATTGTGTCCTTCATTTCAATAAACTTTTCATCTGGTTTCTTCACCTTTACAAGTGATTTAAATAATGATCCGAATAGTGAATGATTTTGATGAAGTGATGCTTTGAATATTTTCTTATCTGATTTCTATAAAACATATAATATGTATTCATATATACAAGTTTTTTCTTTTTTTTTAAAAAATAAGAACTTACAAAATCTGTAGACTCTAGAAAGAGTCGTGTATAGTGTGATGCTTGAAGTAAAGGATGTCTTGCTATTCTATCCATAAACCATTGCAAACTAATAAAAAAAAACAAAATAAAATATAAATGAATCCATTCTATTCTATGTCTTCAAACACCTTACCATAGTCTTCTATGCTCAATAAATGCTGAATCAAATCCATCTCCTTTCATGTATTCTATAAACAGAATATGAATATCTCGTCTTTATTTTATTTTTATTCTTTCTAGTGTACATACTTAAACGATGCTTTTCGGGTAATGGAGGTATGACACAAGTAGAAAATTCAACTGATAATGCATTATGAAGCCATACAAAATCTTGAAAACGACGTCGTACGGGTCGATTATCTACTGAATAATTAGGTAATGCCGTCTTTTTTTTTTAAAGAAAGAAAAAAAAAAAAAAAAAAAAAAAAAAAAAAAAAAAAAAAAAAAAAAAAAAAAAAAGCAGTAAGATAAAGCACTATTGGTTATCATTTTTTTTTTTTTTTACCATTGTGAATACTCGATATGTAACAAAAAAACCATCACTGCTTTTAAGTGGATCATCTACTTTAATCGTCATTGGTTCTGCTTTATATTGTTCATTTGTATTTTGTTTATTTGATTGAAAGGGATCGTAGGAAGAAGTGGAAGCTAAATTCTATAATATCGAGATTAATATGTATAATGCATAATTATTGTCAATGTTTACTTGGTCATAGAATGAAGCACTTTCTTCAAAGGCATTGGTAGTATCAAAAGACCAAGAAGAAAGTCCTTGTTGCTCATTGAAATCATGAATAGACATTTTTAAAATTAGTTGATAAAACAAAAAAAAAAAAAAAAAAAAATAATAATAATAATAATAATAATAAAATAAAACAATAAAAAATAAAAGCATATCTATTATTTTTATTTTATTTTATTTTAATTTTTTTTTTTTTTAAAAAAAAAATAGAAATATATGACACATTTTTTACATCATAATAATTATTGATCATTATTAACATCAGATCGTTCACTAAATAATTCATAATCTGGTTTTTGAGAGGTATATTTTCTTTTAGCTTTACATATTTTACATGTTTGGATCATTGTAGGCACAGGCTTAGCTATATATATACATGTATGTATGTATGTATATAAAGGTAAGTAAAATAGCTTCATTTTTTAAAAAGAAAAAAAAAATATATATATACACATATATTTACATCGAATTCGATGAGTTGAAGTTATGACAGGTAATAAAGGTGTATCACAGCGTTTACATATTGTTCTTTTTACACTTGGATCTCTATATAATGATCAGATTAATAAATGTACACATCTGCCTTACTCAATCTATTTACAGTCTCATTACTAATTTAGCTGTAATTTGCTTCAGATTATTATTTAAATAGCGTGATGTGGCATGTAATGTGCCTTTAGGATCACCTTGCCACGATTGATCTATATTCATCTTGTTATCATTTTGATTTGATTCATATTGAATAGTTGACATTAACACAGCTGCTTGATGTAAAAAATTAAGTCTTTCAAAGGCTTGAATATTTTTAGGATTCACACCCGCTTTTTTCTCTTTTTTAGCCATATATGAAAAAAAATAAAATAAAATAAAATAAAATAAAAATAAATAAATAAATAAACAAAAATGATTTATTATTGTACTTTTTTTTTTTTTTTTTTTTGAAACTCAATGAAAATTTTCTAAGGTAAGACAGCATATTTCTTCAAATGAGAAGGTATAGCATCTGTCAAGTTTTTTGATTCTAACCATTGACGACTGAATAGACGTGATTGATAACGATAGGCACCATCACATAAAAGAGTTACGATTTTAGAGCCTTTACCAAGTTGTTTTGCCATTTGAACAGCAGCACAAACATTCAAAGCTGAGGATGCACCTACATAAATGCCTTCCTCATCTAACAATCTGTATAACATATGAATGGTATCTTCATCCTTAACGTGAACTGCACCATCAATAAGATCCACATCAGGTGCTAAATTATCCGTAATACGGCCTTGGCCAATACCTTCAGTAATTGATGACCCAGATCTTTCAAATAGCTTATGTCCACTTGTGAAATAGCTATAAAGAACAGATCCAGGTGGGTCTGCGAGAAACACCTTGACACGACCCTCTGATCTTTCCTTCAAGAAGCGTGCTGTACCTGCAAGGGATCCACCTGTACCAGTAGCGCATACAAACCCATCTACCTCACCATTCGTTTGCGCATAAATTTCAGGTCCTGTCGTCTCAATATGAGCACGACGATTAGCAATATTATCAAATTGATTTGTCCAGACAGCGTTCTCAAGAGACTCTGCATGACGTTTAGCTTGATGATTATAATTTTGAGGATTATCAAATGCGACAGCAGGAACAGGGAATACTTCAGCCCCCAACATACGTAGCAAATCAATTTTCTCTTGTGACTATGAATAAATAAATAACTAAATAAATAACTTTATTTTTTTTTCTTTTTAACACACACACACACACACACATATATATATATATATAGTGCTCGTTCTATTACCTGAGTATTGGGCATATAGATAACACATTTATATCCTTTAGCACGACAAACATGAGCTAAGCCAATACCTGTGTTTCCTGCAGTCCCTTCAACAACAGTTCCGCCAGCTTTGATTAGCCCCCTTTCTTCAGCATCTTTCACGACATACAGAGCAGCTCTGTCCTTGACAGAACCACCTGGATTCATGAATTCTGCTTTAGCTAATATCTCTGAACCAGTTTCTTCGCTTAATTTGTTTAAACGAATCTAATCATGACATGTTCAATTATGTGAACATACTAGGTTATATATATATATATGTATATATGACTTACGAGAGGTGTATTGCCAATGGCGCCAATGAATCCATCCGTAATCTAGTAAAATAAAAGATTAGTATTCATATGGAATTCAAATAGGTTCATTAAATACTTTACATTAGGACGAGTACCGGGATGAACAGTTGTGAAGCAACGGCGAGTAATGAAACGTAAAGAGTTCATTTTTTTTTTTCGTGGAAATGAATAAAAAAAAATAAAAATAAAAATAAAATAAAATAAAAGGATAAACTTAAAGTGGGGTAAAAAAAAAAAATTAAAAATTAAAAATTAAAAAAAAAGATTATCAATAACGCAATTTGTAAAACTTATTGTTTAGATTCTTGGTCGGAAAAAACAAAAACTCCCCTCTCTCTCTCCTCCCCCCCTCTTTTTTTTTATGACAAAAGATAATAATGGGCTACTAGTGAAAAAGAAAAGAAAAAAACTATATGATATAAAACAAGCTGATCAAACTTATTGTAGAAAGTATTTCGGTAATATTCAGAGTGAAATGGTACAGGGGCGCGTAAAGGAGAAAAGGAAAGATCATTTTTCACTGTGGGTTTTGGTACACAACAAGACATAATAATAGGGTTGGTCAAAAATACAGTGTATTGTTAAGATATATTATTCAGAATATAATAAGAATTTATACGCTCATTTGAATTATTTATCATAAATAATAAATTTTATTAAACATAATTTATGGTATTACATAATTTCCTTGTGTTGCTTGTATATATTATTGATATTAAGGTATTTTCTTTTCATTATTATTATTATTTCATAGATGTGTATAAGACTTATATTTTTTTTTGGCTATACATTCTCAATGAGTCGTTGAAGGGATAAAGGCTATACAATGTAATTGATGAAATCCATATTCATCAGGTGTACAATAATCGCATTGAAAGATAGGTAGTTCTGATTGTAATAAAGTCATCATCATAGGATCCATTAAAAGAGTTGAAGGAGATGTTGTATTATCATCCTTTTGATTATTGTAAAGATAAGATTCAATAGAATTCGTATTCGTATTGATCTGCTTTGCTTGTGTTTGAATTTCAGGTAATAGTAGTCTCTGTTGTGTAGATAAAATAGAATATGGCATATAATTCGGTGTAGTAAGAGACGATGAATGCTGTTGTTGTTTCTCTGGAGCAGGTAGTAGTAATCTATGTTTTGGCTTTGAATGTTGTTGTTCAATCATAGTTAAATAGTTTGGCTTTTTTCTTTCAATACATCTATTTTGATGAGCTGTAAATCCTGCATTACGGAATCCCCGTTGATCATATTTAGGGAATTGCTTATAACATATCTTGCATTGTAGATAATCGTCTTTTTGTTCATCAAACAAGGACATGATTCAAGAAGAAACAAGTATATATAGATAGATATGGAGATAGAGATAGATATAGATATATACATATACATGTATACAAATATTTATATTTATATACATCTATTTTACGCATCTAGTATTTATGCAAAATTTCATTTGGATTTCATTATATAATAACAAAGGACATATATTTATTAAAGTGTTTCTATAAAATTTATTTTTGGTTTGTTTTATGGAAGAAAACAAACGTAAGGTCTTGTATACTAAATACATATACATATATACATGTATATATATATAAATATATATATATATATATATATTTTATTAATGTATGCATATATATATATATATATTTATATATTTATATAGAAAGAAAAAAGAAAAAAGAAAAAGAAACAAGGCGTCTATAAAATTACACAACTCCTCTTTGTCTACCATCCATTCTCGGCATTCCTTGTACGCAAATATTCATAAATTTTATTCCCAGTTTGTTCTTCTCGAAGATGAATCATATAAACAATACTTGTCTTGGATGATTCATCTGTCAGTAAGAATGAAATACGTTTAGGACCCATTCGTTCCACATTGCCACTCTTTACAATAGCGTGTACCAATTTAGTTTTATCATTTTCAATCTGAATTAGCATACGCATACTAGGTGCTTGTTGACTAATTCTCATCGTCACTGAGCCAAATGTACTCCAGTTTGACGTCTCATTTTGTACAAATAGTTTTGCCTTACATTGCATCACAGGTTTTAGTGTCTGAGGTACATTAACTGTGTCTAAAGGCTCATCGTCTACAACATCTAATATTGTTTGTTGTTGCTGTTGCTGCTGTTGTTGTTGTTGTTGTTGTTGACGTTGAGCATTATTTAAAATAGTAGAAAAGACAGTTGCATCCTGTGGATATTTAAAATGAATCAAATAGTTCTCCTTTTGGTTTCCTAAATAAAGTGAAATGTTGATATCAGTTGGTGAAGGTTGTCTAATGACTGTATTAGCCATAATCCAAGCATTCAAATAAAGTTGTCCTGTCTTTTGTAATTGAACAGTAACAGATATACGATTTGTATGGGTAAGGCGGATCTGTAATAAACAGGGGCCATCAGTAGCATACCAGGACTGATTGCTCCAATGAAAGACCTCACATTGATTACTACTATAAAGGATTTTTCTAACATCATTGAGCATATTAGGCTATTTGGGGGGGAAAAATAAAATAAAATAAAAAGTGAGTAAAGTTTTTCTATATAAAATATATAAATATATATATAATATATATATATGTGTGTGTATGTATGTATAGTAGAGTTATGAATGCTTTACATTATGAGGAGAAAAGTCTTCTGAATGAGATTGAGCTAAATTTGAGGATGGACTATATCGTCCTGAAGATACTTGTTGTAAATGAGAAGGTGTTGTATTATTATTATTATAGGATCGATTGTTGTGCTGTCCATCTGCTTTATTGATATAGGGTTGACTAGACAACGGTTGTTGTGGTAATGGCTTTTGTGAATAATTACCTATTAAGGAAGATGAATAGTTAGTAGATTGTTATATTTAATAAAAATAGTATAAGATGATAATTAGTTTTTTTTTTTTTTCACCCTGGATACTGACCATTACTACTCTTTTGTTGTTGTTGTTCTTTCATAGAAGAAGAACGAGGAACAGAGGGTCGCATTTGAAAATTTGTAATAGGTTGAAATCTATCTTTATTTTGTTGCTGTAAAAGATAATCGTTTGTTTTTTGAGTAATGGCTTGCATAGCTTGAGGAATAATGGCTTGTTGAACTTCAACTGCTCTTGGAGAAGAGGGACTCCTTGGAGAAGAAGAATGGTTACTATTCATTTTAGGAGAAGAAGAAGAAGAAGAAACTGATAGGGTTGCGATTTGTGCAGTAGGAAGAAAAGTCATTTGGACAGAGTTTTCATGCACGTTGGTGCTACCCTTTTTTGGCGGCATCTTACTCGTTTGTAATTGCCGTGTAACATCTTTGGGAGGAATAGCAGGAGGTAGTAAAGAAGATGAATTGATATGCGTATCATAAATGTCCATAATTGTATCTCTAGTATTACTCTCCTCATCTGAACTTTCTAAAGGAGAAACTCCACCTGATTCAGAATAATAAGTAAAGATATCTGTATCTCGAATATTTGGTTTTTTTGTTGATGGGTGGTTAGCTGCTGCCAACAATTTCTTATGAGCAGCATCACTTAAAGGTCGAGAAACAGCTGTTGGAGGATTACCAACCCACGTGTTTCTAACTTCTACTGAATCAGTTGTTAATAAAAGTTGCTTTTTCCCCAAAATAGTAAAGCAAATATCTTCATTCACAGTCTTTACAGTGATGTCACTAATAGGAATAGGAGTATATAATAAAAAGTATTGATCATGACTCTTTTCTTCACAAATCACTAGCACTTCAGTTGTCAATACTAGATGCACATGAACCATTGTCGGCAACATTATAAAGCTATTCCTCATAACTAACTGAGAATGATTCGATAAATGTAATTGGTCATAATTCTATATTATAAAAATCAATCAATCAATCAATAAATAAATCAATAAAAAAAATTAATTGTTGTTGTACAACAATAAAATCTATTTTTACCATTTTTACACCAGTATGAAGATCTATCGTCTTTGAACAATTGACCTGTCTTTTAAATGTTGCCAAATCAGTACAAAAATTTGTTTGAATTGAAGACAATTTATTAGCTTGAGGAGTAGTTGTACGATGAATCAACATCATAACAGTGTCAATTCTTTTATTTGCATTCAAGAGTAATTTATGATCTGTTCTACCTGAGTCTGATCTTTCTAATAGATTCTAAATAAATATAAAAATATATTAAGATAATAGTAGTAAATCTATTTTTATATAATTATTATTTACATTGTATAAAACTTTATAATATTTTAATCGCTGAAGAGGTGCCTGAAAGAGTGTTTCTAGGTTAATTTTACAAGAAAGATTACTTGATAATTTCTAATAAAATAAAAAAAGGTAAATATAGAATAATAATAAAAATAAAAGCAGGTTTTTACTTGAAGCATATTTCTTATTGAGGGATTATTAAGGATATCATGACGCTGATTAAGATTCGAGATATAGTTTTTACAATATTTTGCATAGGGAGCCTCCAAATCATTGACCTTTAAAGATATATACACATAAATAGATGTATTATAAATACTGTATCATGTTAATAGTATCATGGTTATCTCTTTACCCATTGTATAAGAATATCACCGAGCTCACTTGTTGTTTGAGAATGAGTAGTAGTAACATTTGTCAATCTCTATTTAAAATAAAAATAAAAATAAAAAACTAGCTTGGTAAAATCAAACCATAATTCTATATCCTTTTTCTTTTTTTTTTTTACCATACAAAATTGTTTATTCACTTTTAATATATCATGTATACATTTTAAAAGCTCAGAGAAATCAGGTGCAGCAGATGTCATTTGTTTCATCCAAATGGGAGCAATTTGCTATTATAAATAGTTAAGCTCTTTCTGTGTTTATCATACTATCGATTGATTAAAAATATTTACAGAATCAATTATCTTCAATGTTTCCATATAGGATTGTTCTGTCTCAATAAGCTCAGTTAAAGGATTGTTAGTTATTCTTTTCGAATATTGTAAAGAAGAAGGCATTAGCGACCCTAAATTAGTAGAAGCAAAAGCATTTGATGAAGGAATAGTCGATGCTGTTAACATGATGAAAGGAAAGGAATGGATTAATTTGTATATAACAAGTTATTAAGTAGACTTGAGAAAAGAAAAAAAAAAAAAAAAAAAAGAAAAGAAATTGCCCTTTTTATTATTATTATTATTATTATTATTGTGAATCTTTGTACAACATTAAATTTATTGTGTCATTATGGCTGCTTTAGCTTCTTCTAATTCATCTTGCATGATTTTTTTTCTTACCAGTACTGCCTTAGCTAAATCTAAACGTCCATGTCGTTTAAAAATCATGGCTAATCGACGATCTTTTTCCATTCTTATTTCAACTTGTTTTAAATAAGTTTCCATATCCAAAAGACCTGTTTGCACTTGAATTATAAGCATATTCATCTTAATATCGAGTGCTTGTTTTCGATCTATTAATTCTTCTTTATTGGGATATATTGATAATTCTGAATTTGTAAGTTTAAGTTCATGTTCTAAAACCATATTAGAAACAAGTGCCTCCACACTAAACAGTAATGTCAGTCATTATTATAAATTAATAACTTTATTTTATTTTATTTTTTACCTATTAAATTCTTCTTCTGCAGTCTTCAATTCATTATCTTTTATTGGTTCCACCTGAGTTGTTGATTCTGTCTTAATTTCTGTTTTAGGAGAAACAGGTTTTTGTGCTGATGTACTTAATCCTGCGGCTACTAAATAATTAGATACTTCACTTCCATCCAATACTAGCCAATCTTCAGTTCGCTTCATCATATCTTTTTCTATTAACGGTTCTCTCAAATTCACTTGTAGCTCAAGTTTACCTCCTGTCTTTTTTCGTCCACCATCCAATAACTATACAAAAAAAAAAAAAAAAAAAAAAAAAATCGAATGAAAATTGAATAAAAAAAAAAAAAAAAAAAAAAAAAAAAAAAGTAAAATACATTTACTTTAGTTTTATATTTACATCAAAGATGCCAGATAGAGTGGCTTTGGTTAAGAGCTGATCTAATGGAATCACTGCTTTTCCTAATGATATAGGTCTTCTAAAAAACCCATACGTATATCGATTATGAAAGACCTCAAGTGTTAATTTCTTACGTTGCAAGTAACGTTGAAAGGGTCGAGAACGACTGATAGGTATCATCAAAGTAAAATCAAAATTTGCATCCTTTACAACAGGCGTCTCTCCCTTATTTAAGGATGCCTGTGGAGAGGACTCTGGTGGCCAGCCTCCGAGATCCCATGTTACAAATGGCTCAAGGGTGCCTGCGATATCTAATGTGGGTAAGTGAATAGCTTTTAGAATTTTAAGTTGCATTATATTTTCAGGAATTTCATCAAGCTTATTTGCATAGACATATTGCACTGTCTCGTAATGAAAGGATCCGGAAAGTGATTTGAGATCCTTTGAGAAGGCAGCTTCAAGCTTTGAGAAATGACGATTTTGTTTGGATTGTAGAGATAACTGATGACACATATTGATTTGATACTTTATTTGTGCCTTAATTTCATCTTGAGACTGTGGACATGACGGCTTATCATTACCTAATGTCATATCAGGTGCATCAGGGAGTTGGATGTCTTCTAATCTACTTCTTTCACCAGATTTGATACTAATACCCAAGTGTAAAAGATCTTTAGAGGTACGAACCATTTGTTTTGCAATAGAAAAATTGCCAAGTTTTTTATAATGAAGAGCTGCTTCTTTGTATTGTCTTTGTAGTGTGATCACCTTTGAAAGTAAATTTTGAATTTCTTGTTGACTAGCTGAAGACTTGTGTATCTCATTTTTAGGTATCGCAGATGCAGGTATATTAGTTGTAGGTATCTCTGGTTTAGATATATCTGTTTTAGCTGCATCTGCCTTTAATATATCTACTGATGTGGATACTCTATCTTCAGTAGCTTCATTTTTAGGCAACGGCGGTGATGAATTGGCACTTTGCTCTATTGTTAATTTCGCTATTCCTTTATCAGACTCTTCATGTGATTGAATTAACTCTTGATATCTTGCATTATATTCTTTCGATTCACGTAATAAGGCAATAGCCTTCTTTTTATCTCCCTGTCTTTTTGCATTTAAAGCCAAAGATTGATATTCCTGTACTTTTTCCTTCCAGTACTGAGGATTCTTCTTTTCATCATTTTTGGTTGGCTCCTCTTTATGTACTGGTGTATCAAACAAGTAATTAGCTGCTCTTTCTACGTTGTTATCAAACATGTCTAATGCACTTTCAGATTGCTTTTGTGTGAATCCCATGTTGATCAAGTCATTTACTTCTTGACTAGGCGCTAAAGATGATTCTTGGCTAATTAATGAAAGTTCATTCTAATGTTAAAGCTTAGATATATGTATATAAATCATTCCAGATTACTTTTTGCTTTTTTTTTTCGTACCAATAAATTGGTATCATTTAAATCCTTTTCGTCAAATTCTACTTTAATGTCATCATCATCATCTTGACCTTGAGCAAGCTTAGTATAAGCATCAATATTAAAATTAATATCGGCAACCGGGTTAAGAACCTTTGGTTTTGACTTTGACGTAGGAGTAGGAGTAGAAGAAGAAGTTAATTCTTGTAGTTGTTTCTAAAAAAAATAAATAAATAAATAAATAAATCGCCTTTTTTTTTTTTTTTTTTGTATAAACATTTCGAGCATTACTATACCAATAACTCTGGGTCATTTATATCCAAGTCATTATCAACATTATCAAGGTCAGAATTTAATAACTGATCTAAATCATCAACATTAAATTCTTTAGTTATCTTGCTCATTTATATACAATATATTGATAAATAAATGTATGAAAAAAAAATAAACATGTATATTTTTATGTATTTGTTTATATTAAAGCAGATGACTCTTGATGTATTTTGTCGGAGAGTGTGTGTGTGAGTTCACAATAATTGAGAAAAAAAAAATATTTTTTTTTTTTTATTCTTTTTTGAGATCTATTTTGAATGAAAACATGTCAAAAGATTCAGTTAAAGCAGGGAACATAACAGGTAAGTCAGTAAACATTAATATACATGTATATTTTTTAATAGTATTACAAACATGTATAATGTATAGAACCTATCGATAAACGTATTTATATTGGTGGTTTACATCCTCAGACAACAGAAGAGCAGATCAAAGAACGATTTAATAAATTTGGCTCTGTCAGTCATGTTAATATTGCCAAAAATGTAGAAAGTAAAGACATGTCTGTATTACTATTTGTACTCGTTTTAATTATTATTATTATTATTATTATTATTGTTAATTAGATGAATGTAGAGGATTTGCGCACATGACGATTCATACAACACCCAAGCAATGGGAGTCTTGTAAGTCAAAAAAAAAAAAAAAAAAAACATCACTACATTGTCTATTTCTAACTCTTATTATAAAATAAGGTCTGAGTGTTTATAACGGGGCTAAATGGAGAGGTTATATACTTAAGCTAGAAGAGGCATCACTTGACTGGCAGGAACGCAAACGTCTACGAGATATTCAATGGTCTGAAAAGGAGGCTAAAAGGTTAAAACGTTTAAGTCGATGGAATGATAAAAGTGAAGCATTCCATGCTAAAGATATCGATACACCTGTTACTGATAATAATCTTCGTAAAGGATGGAAGAGAGGACGCTATGGTCGTGCGATTGCTGTTATGCGTCTTCGAAAGCCAAATGGCACCCGCTTTGTATTTGATCCTTCCCATTATAAAAATAATCTGAGCAAGCTGTATAATTTAGGAGTACAGATGAAACCCATTCATCGCCTAATCTCGTCAGTTGATAATAATAATGAAGAAGGAGATTGGTTTGATCAGAAGCAAGAAAATTCAGATGATGAATCCAAGATAATAATGACAGAGGATGAACCCAAGATAATAATGACAGATGATGAGAAAAGAAAAGCTGCTATGGAGAAAATGTTTAACGAACAAAAAGCAAAGAAGGAACTGATCAGTCAAGCACTTGCTGGCGACTTGCAATCAAGAAATCATACAAAGTTTGATAACGATGATGATAGAATAAATACAGAGGATGCCTTTAATATAGTTCATGATGAAAAAGAAGATAACCAGCCTAAGGATGCAATAAAATGGATGTTTGATTCTGATGATGAAAGTGATGACGAATATGATATTAAGGTGAATCCAGTGCTGGAAGGTGAAGAGGGACGAAAGCGTCTAGAACTTCAGTCAACGTTTAAAGGGGATGATCGTTTCAAATTAAGTGAGGATTTTATAGATGATGATAAAAATAAAAAAGTGAAACAAGTACAAGAAGATGAGATTGCTCAAGAGCTTGGTGCAGAAAAATCACAAGCGTTGGATGTACTTCGATCGATGTTTGGTAATGAAAAAGTAGATAATACAAAATCCAAGGCAGAGAGTACATGGACTAGCGCAGCTCGTTTTGATCCAGATGCTGAAGATGCCTTTAAATACCTTACTCATCATGAGGAAGAAAATAGGGAAACATCTGAGGAAGAGGATACTAATAGTGATGATGATTTCTTTGATCAGCATGAAAGAAAGCCTGATGTTACAGCTATGCCAGAAGTATCTACAGAGAAACATTTTGAAGTGAATACAAATCTAAAACCACTCTTTGGAGGAGCGGAAGATGAGCCATTCACATTATTTGGTGGTAATGATGATGATGATGCATCATTGTTTAGTAAGAAAGATGACAAGCATGAGGAACAATTTATATCATCCACTTTTGCATCTAAAGAAGCAACTAAGGGGCGCCTTGGTTTAGGCGTATTATTCTTTTTCCATTTAGATGACCCTTCCTTAATGAAAAAGTAAGTAGTAAAACCTACAAGTGAGTATCTATCTAACCAATGTGTGTAAAATAGGAGTTGCTATGCTTATGACTCAGAAGGTATCTTTCAAGCACAAGAAGATGAAAAAGAATATGAAAAGAAATGGAGAGAGCAGAGACCTCTTATTAAAGAAGTTTTGAAGAAGCGTCAAAAGAATGCAATAAAAAGTCAAAAAAGGAGAGCTATACGTGATTTAAAATAAAATCAAATAAAGTAAAAAAAAAAAAAAAAAAAAAAAAAAAAAAAAAAAAAAAAAAAAAAAAAAAAAAAAAAAAAAGAGAGAGAGAGAGAGATACTTTTTATTTATTACAGTCAGTAAGACTGATTTTGTCAGTAGTTTAAAAATAATTGTCATAAAATAAAATCTATTTGTCGTTTTGAGAAAAGCATTTTGTCGTTTAAAAAAAAAAGCCAAATTGTCGCAAAGTTTATATTCATTTGTCTCCCTTTTTTTTTTAGCATAATGACAAACGCCTTTTTTTTTATATAAAGATGGACAAAATCAACCGTACTGACTGTAGTATTATTATTTCATTACATTTTTTGCTAATTTCATTACCTGACTACCACAAAATCTACCCAAGACGCCTTGTCCAGCAGAAATTTCATTGAATGTTTTAACGGAATCTTTGTAAATATGTGGTATATTAGTAGCAACAAAAGGTACAGGTTCACAACTATGATCACCAAACTGTACTAATGTTGTATGATCACCAGTGACAATCACAGTATATTTAGTTTCCTATTATATGAATAATGAATGTAGCTCAATGAATTAAATTTGATATAGAGTATACCTTATTGTGACAGTATAGGTCCTTTATAACGATCCCAATCATTTCATCTATTTTCTCTATGTAATGTATCTTTTTTAATATATCTTTATCATGGCCAGCATCATCCACAGCCTTAAGATGACAAAAGCCAAACTGATATTGAGGTTGAATGATATGATTTAAAAGAGCCCTTGCCTTTGCATGAAAATCTGTATTATAATCACCTGTAGCTCCCTTTACATGAATTAAATCCATACCCAATGCCAATCCTATCCCAGCTATAATGCATGTAGGAGCAATTAAAAAACTCTTGAAGCCATGTAGTTGTTCTATATTTTGAGGTATACGTGGAAAGTTACCACATCCTCTCAATAACACGCAGTTAATAGGTCGCTTTTGATGTTTAATTCTGTCTTGATTGATAGGATGGGTAATGAGAATTTTGTAGAATTCAGATGATAGCTCATTCACTAACTAGTCAAGCGTATTATATGAATTGATATATATATATAGATATATACATATATTATAATCTGTATATTTTTGTTTATCCTTACGCGACTTGTCATGATAGCATAAGAATCATTAAGATGAGCATCAAATGGTTTACATTCAATAAGTGGTATGCTTTTATAGTATTAATATATATAGTAATTTGTATATAGATGTTTCTTCTTACTTGTCTTTAAGTGGGTCTGTGCCTGTAATTTTTGAACTCAAGTTGGGACCTCTTATTCTAACACTACAACGATGTTCAATGGTATGCTTAACTGCAATGACATAGTTAGGAAAAGAGGGTAATTTTCTAAATAAAATAATGATATGTTATACATGTTGTAGATAATCAGTATATATCTAAAAGAGAAGTACATATTATCAATAGCATTGCATAAAGCCAAGCCTAATGTTCCATCGAAATGATGGTCTGCCTTTCTTGCTTTCACTATACCAGTTTCTTTATCTAAATAAGCAAAGTTACACTAGACATGTATAGTAAAAAGATAGTGTTACATATACATGCATGTATTTTTTTATTTTTATTTTCATGTATCTATTTACCTTAAAGGCAATATCTCCAGGTTTCATTTCAAGTCCTGCACCCATACTTTCAAAGGCTCCTCTTCCTTCATAATAACTATGTACTTATTATTAACATACATACATAGATAAATAGATAATTTTACATTCTGGGATCATAACCCAATATTGACATATGAGCTGTATCCGATCCACATGCTAAACCTGGTTCAACTGGATCTAAAAGACCATTTATACCCTTTTCTAATTTTAGTCATCAGTATTATTAGCATATGTAGTTTTTCTTCTTTATTATAATAAATAACCTGCTAAATGATCAAGCCATGGTGTATTAGCTACTTGTAAAGGTGTTTTTGAATCATATTCTGGAATACCAATATCACCTAAACCATCTATCATAAAGAATATTAATTTTTTATTATTATTCATATAGTAAAAGAAAAAGATGAAAAAGGAAGAAAGAAAGAAAGAAAAAATATTTATTTATTTATAAATATATAGTTTATTTTATTTTATTTTATCTTCTTAAAAGTATGAAATATTCATGCAAACTAAAGCATTTTTATTTAGGTCTCACAGCATCTAAGGTACACATTAATACTCTACTCTATACTATTTATATATAAACAGTTTGCTACTCACCAAAATAAGGATGTGCCATTGCTTCTTTTGCAGTTAATCTTTCTTGGTGATCATATCTTAATAACTTATCCAAGAAATCAAGTGAATCATCAGTAACAAAGCGTTGGTTATCATTTGTCACAAACTTATTCCAAGGTTTACGTAAATGTCTACCAAGAATATTATTGTATTCTGGTGCAAGCGTAATGGAATACTTTTCAATATATCTAAACAATTCATCTGTACCCAAAACTCTAGCAATTTTAACTAATTGGTCATAGTTATCATGGCCATGGAAGAAGGGCTCTTTACGGAAAATCATGCTGGCAAACATACAGCCATAACTCCACATATCTAAACTATAATCGTATTCTTGGAAATCAACCAAAAGTTCGGGTCCTTTAAAATATCTTGAAGCGACACGTACATTGTATTCTGTTCCCGGATGATAGAATTCTGCTAATCCCCAATCAATTAAACGTAACTATATAAAACAAACGTTAGGTATAATCCTAATAAATATGTTACAGACTTTAATATACATATAGCATTACCTGTCTTTTTTCATGATCAATCATGACATTATGAGGTTTTACATCACGATGCATAATACCTTTTGAATGGCAGTAATCTAAAGCCTGTATTTCTAATGTTTAATACATTGTATAAATACATGATGATTATTCTTTTTTTTTTTTTTTACCTTTAATAATTCATACATATAATATTGAATATCATAAACTGTGAAACGAGGATAAAGGATTTTAAATTCGGTATTATTAACATACTCAGAAATAATAGCTGGTGTCTTTGACTAGTAATATAAAAGTTCTTATTATTATTATAATATATCTCATTTTTACTTATAACTTACAATGGGATCTCGGACAATATCCAAGAGACCTACAATATTCGTTCCACCTGCTAAATTCTGAAGAATCTTGATTTCACGTTTAATCTTCTTCTTTTTTACAGGCTTCAAGGCTTTGATAATACATTTCTGGTTGCTGGTAATGTCGATACCTTCAAATACTTCAGAGTATTTACCACGTCCTACTTTACGAACAATTTCATAATTATCTTGATTTCTAAACAAAAAAAGATAAGTAAATAAAATAATAAAAAATTGCATATTTGTTTTTGTTTTTTGTTTCTTTTGTTTTTTGTTACCCCCATTCAACTTGAAGGTTATCATAATCCCAATAAGAATTGGGCATTTTAGAATTCACGTCAGCATAACACCGGGCTATACTTTTAGAATTATTCGTATTTATAGGCATTGCACTCATCTTTTAGAGTTAAAAAGATAATAACAATAATTATAATAAAATAAAAACTTATTATTTTTTTTTTCCTCTGAAATATTCCCTTAAATTAATCCTGAAGTCACACATAGAATAAATTGGGTTTTTACCAAAAAAAAAAAAAAAAAAAAAAAAAAAAAAAAAAAAATGTATGTGTATACGCATATAAATATAATTAGTGCTTGCAAAAACTATATATTATTTCCCTTGAAACGAGTATTCTATGTGCTACACCTTCTTTCACAACTTCTACTCTCCTCTTATCTATGAGAAGTTCATTTAAAATGAAATGCTATTTGTACTATTTCTTTTATTTTATTTTATTTTTTTTTTCTTTTTGTTAAATACTAATTTTTGTCGCGAATTATAGTAAACGCGATGAAAAAAAAAAAAAAAAAAAAAAATATATATACACATATAAAAATTAATTTTTTGATAGCACTTTATTTTATTTTTTACGTAATAAAAAAAAATGCCTGTACGTAGAAGATCTACCAATACTGCCACTAGTAAAAAGAAACAAAAAAGCACTTTAGCAAAGGAAGTAAAAAAGAAACAACAATCAAGGACCTCTTCTACTTTAGCTAATACAAAGCCTGTAATAACAGTGACAGAAAATAATTCTACACCAGGTATTACTATAGATATTGATTTCTACCTATAATATTATTATTAAAAACTTCCTATAGAGGAAATTCTTCATGCTTCATGGAAATTCATTACTGCCTTTCAATTCTTTTATCTTTTCAGATCTTATTTCAAAATCCCTACTTCATTTACTATTGAAAGATTAGAGCAATTACTCCTTTCTCAGCTAGATTTAGAGGACGATACATCAAGTATTATAACAAATAGCAGTACACAATCGCAAAAACGAGGATTGCAATATACGATTGCTGATTTTATGGCTTGTATTTTAAATCCACTAACACGTCAACAAGTCAATAATGAAAATTACGAAGATCATGTGCTAAAATTATTTCCTGAATATTCAGATCGATTTTCAAAATTACCTATTATGGATAAAATCAACTTATTAAAGACAATTGAACATTCTCATTTGAATGCTGGGGAAGAAAGTTTTATGGCATATCGAAATGAAACAACACCAGAGTCGATAGTAAGAACAAAAAAAAAAAAATGAGTGAGTTTATGTTATTCATCACTTCTTTATATATATATATATGTATAGAGAATGAATCCATTAGGTAAAGATCATGAAGGATGGACGTATTGGTATTTTGGAGGTAATTTAGCATAAGTTTAAAAAAAAAAAAGAAATCAACTTTCTGATACTTTATGATTAGGTACTCGATTATATAGAGAAATATCACCTCGAATTTTATCTAAAAAGAGCTATCAAGAGTTACCTAACTTTACTTTTGAGCTGGTATGTTCATCTATTGAAGAATGGCACAAGATTGTCAAGGATTTTCAGGCCCGTACTTCAAATCGAGACTTGGTTACACATATCTGCAAGATTGGTCTAGAAGTGATAGACAAACTAGAAGCTCGTGAAGCAGCACGTTTACGAAATGAAGCTAAACTTAAAAAAATAAAAGAATTAGAATTATTACCAAGAAAACGAAGTCGACGACTTGAAGTAAAATCTGAAGAGAATGCTAAGCGACAACGTTTATTAGAAATCGAAAGACAGAGAATTGAATTGGAAGAGATAGAAAGAAAAAAGCAGCTTATGGAAGCAAAACTGCAAGCAGAACAAGAAAAACGGGATTTAAAAGTGGGGGAAGCAAGATTAAAAAACGAAGTTTATCACTATCTTTCACGATTAATTTCCGAGGCTGTAGATAGAGAAGAAGCAAGAAGACTAAAGGAATTGAGAAATCAGACTAATAAGAACACCACAGATAAGGAAAAGCTTATAAAAATGCAAGGATGGATAAGATTGTTAGATGAAAAGGTAACTGTTGACTATAATGAAGAAAAGCTTCGATTTGTAAATGAAAGGTTAAATGAAGGTAAAAATAATAATAATAATAGACAGACACTATGAACTAAACAAAATCATAAAAGTGCTTGAATCGGTTCTTTTCAAGAATACATTACGTGTTTATTTAATAACCCTAATGAGCCAAATAGAGCCTAAACGTGATATCTATAAAAAATTAGATCATATCTATAAATCACTTTTATTAAATCGATATAACAATATGGATTTATTTTGTACTGATTTGAATAATACTTTAAATATTGCAAAGGAAGATAAAGAATTTTATGATAATTCTGTTCAGCTTTTATTATCTATTTTTAACACAGATAAACAAGAAAGCCATGAACATGAAAAGATGAATCATCTTAATTCAACCTTATCATTAGAACAAACAGAAGAAGGCAGTAGTGTGTTATCTATAGAAAATAATTTTATATAAATCATCTTTTATAAAAAGCCCGACTGATGATCTAGTTTGACTGAAAAAAATCAATAAAAACTTTATTAAACATTTTTTTTTAAAAAGAAAAAAAAACATTGTTATAATTAACCTCCATGCAGTCTAAAAATCATTTTTCAGAGACATTGATGAGAACCAATGACAGCTTAATTTATGAAAATGCTGCTGTAGGGCACCAGTTAAGTGTTGATCGTAATGACATGTTGGCACCTGGTAAAATAAAAATAAAAGCAAAAAAAAAAAAAAAAAAAAAAAAAAAAAAAAAAAAAAGCACGTTGACAACAATTCATTAACTTGAAAGTGTAGCTATTTCGAGAGTACTTATTATTTACACGGGTGGCACGATTGGCATGAAACATACACCAGAACATGGTTATATTCCTGTAAGCTTTTTTACGCTATGATCAATATATTTGATTCACATTATTATTATTATTTCTTGATTAGCTTCCTAATTATTTTGCAGAATCTTTATCTAAAGTACGTCGTTTTCATGATCCTACTAGTGGACCAACAGAATCACTTTCGCGTTCTTCATCGTTCGACAGTCTTCAAAGTTTACATATATCTGATAATTTTGCAAATGATTTTGGCAAAATTACCAACCCAGTACGCTGTGTTCAACAAGATGGTTCTGAAAAAGGACAAGTCAAGATGCTTCAATTACCAAGCCTTATTACACCGGTCAGTTTATTTGGAAAAAGAATCAGGTATTGAAGACAGGGGAAAAAAAGACATTTGTGTCTCACGTATAGTTCATAGATATTCTATTTTAGAGTATGCGCCTCTCTTGGACTCATGTGATATTACTATGTCAGGTAAAAAAAAAAATATTTATTCATTTGTGTATAAAAAAAAGTCGGAAATTACTTATTTTGGTAATTTTTTTAGATTGGGTTCGAATTGCAGCAGATATTAAAGAAAATTATGAACTTTATGACGCATTTATTGTTTTGCACGGAACTGATACAATGGCTTATACAGCAAGCGCACTTAGCTTTATGTTAGAGGAGCTTGGCAAGACAGTGATTATTACAGGTTCTCAGGTTCCTTTGACTGAAGTCAGAAATGATGCCGTTGAAAATCTCTTAGGCGCTCTTACAATTGCAGGACACTTTGTTATTCCAGAGGTTACTCTTTATTTCGGTAAAAAACTTTATCGTGGCAACCGAACAAGTAAGATTAGTGCTGTTGATTTTGAAGCATTTGATTCTCCTAATATTCCTCCATTGGTGGATGTGGGCATTAATATCGGTAAATATAGTGATTGATTCGTTTTTTTTTTTTTTGTCAATAAACTAAAATTGCTTTTCTTAGATGTTAAATGGCCACTAGTACTTCGACCAACACAAATTGCAAAATTTACTGTTTCCAAAAATCTAAATCCTAATGTAGGTTCACTCAGATTATTCCCAGGTATCAGTGACAGCACAATTCGCGCCTTTTTAGCACCACCCATTCAAGGCGTAGTTCTTGAGACATTTGGTGCTGGTAATGCTCCTGCTCGATCTGCCTTGTTAGCTGCTCTTAAAGAAGCTAGTGATCGAGGTGTGGTCATTGTAAACTGCACTCAATGTCGAAAAGGTGTCGTAACAGATGCTTACGCAACAGGCAAACAGCTTGCCTCTGCAGGTGTAGTACCAGGTGCTGATATGACACCTGAATGTGCACTTACTAAGTTAGCCTATTTGCTTGGAAAGATACCCAACAATCCAGACTATGTGCGTAAAATGATGACACGTAATCTACGTGGTGAATTAACTGTGCGTGCCCCTTATCAACGCTTTAGTGCATCCAATAACCGAACAAGCATGTTAGTCAATATTCTCACAAGATTTTCATCATCTAAACTGGTTCGTCGTATGAGTCGTGCTAGTATAGAGGATATCGATATAGCATCTGATGGATTAAATGAAGAAGAAGAAATTGATTTAGCAATGTCTACTGAGGAAGAGATAGTAGCTGAAAGGATACTATTGCCTGTTCTGTTATGTTCTGCTGCTGCTGTGAATGACATTGATGGCCTTCGTTCACTTGTTGAAAGTATAGGAGAAACAATTAATCTTAACTGTGTAGATTATGATGGGCGTGTTCCACTTCATATTGCCTGTCGTGAGGGACATCATAAAATTGTAGAATATTTATTGTTACATGGTGCAGCTATCCATGTACGTGATCATTCAGGCCATACACCTTTATTTGATGCAGTTGTCCACCAACGAGCTGAGGTAATTTCGATACTTCGAAAGGCAGGTGCTCATTTAGCAGAAAATGAGCTAAATGATATGGGACCTTTTTGGTTTAAAGCAATTAAAAGTAACAACGTAAGATGGGTCCAGATTGCATTAGATGCAGGATTTAATGTTAATTGGGCGGATCCTGTAGAGGGACGTCGTGGTATAGATATAGCTGTTACTTTAGGACATGTATCTATTTTGAAAATCTTGTTAAATCAAGTTGGAATTGAAGATAGATTTGATAAGGTAATAGATAAGTGGGGTATGACTGTACTCGATAAGCTGGAATTGCTTAAGAAGAGACATGATTTGATACAGCCTATAAAAAATCGAGTCTCACTAGAGACAATAGAACAAATGGAGACATTATTATATAATAGAATTCAGGATTAAAAACATAATTGCATATTTATTAGTGTACAATGGTGATTAAAATACAGGTAAAAATTCACTTCAAAGAGCTGCTATATAATCAAATAAAGAAAACTTTTTTTTTATCTTATCTTATACATCAATGAATTTTATAAATCTTTTTTTTTTTTTTTTTACTTTGATAGTTCGTTTACTCTGGTTATTTTTAACTGTCATACTTTAAATTTTCTTTTCGGCAATTCATATGATGTCTAATTGATAATCACATACCAAATGTATTATTCTTTTTATTCAAACTTATAAAAATTTGAACTTATTGAAAGCCTTTCGCAAAAGATAATATAAGCATGTGAGAGTTAAATAAACTACTTTGCTATAAGTATGCGGCATTTGAAGTAATCATTGACTGCTTTTTCACTGTTCAGATTTGTTAAACTCTTTTGTATGACTGGTTGCTCACTTTTTTTTTCCTAATATTTATCTCCTTTTTTCTCTCATTCTTTTTAACAAACTATATATTTATATTTTATACATATAATATACATACATACATATATACATACATACATACATACACACGAGTTGTATGTATCTTTACTGAGCTTTGGAATTACCGTTACTATTATCTATTGAATCCAGTAAAACAAAAAAAAGTAGATGCATCAAGATGAATCAACAAAATCCAAACATACCCATTGGTCAACCACAGCAACAGCAACAGTTACAACAGCAACAATTACAACAGCAACAGCAAAATCCCTTAAACATTAATCTCCAAAATGATGTTCCAAATGCTAATTGGAGAGATGAAATTACAGTACAGGATAGAGCTCGTTTCGTTTCTCAATTGTAAGTTTTAATATTTATGATAAGTTTCTAACAGCTTATTCTTTTTTTTTTTTTTTTTTTTTTTTTGTTTAGAGGCAATGCTTTAAAACATTTATCACCTACAACTTCTGATAATGATATTTTTGCTGCTGCAAAAAACTTTGAATTGACTTTATATACGAAGAGCACAAGCAAAGTAATGTATCGCGAAATAATTGTTAAAGAATACATAAACTAAAAATTTTTTTCATTTTATCATATTTTTTTCTTAGAATCAATACGTTTTAGCCTATGCAAGGAAGTTTCATCAAATTAAGTTTCAAATTCAAAGCCAAAATGGAGGTGCCCCTATGTTGAATGATAGTCAACTTCAATTAAACTTAAATACACTTGCTGGTGGACAACAGATGTCTCCTTTGTTGCAGCAACAACAACAGCAACAGCAACAGCAACAGCAACAACAACAGCAGCAGCAGCAGCAACAACAACAGCAGCAACAACAACAACAACAGCAGCAGCAGCAGCAGCAGCAACAGTTACAACAACAACAGCAGCAGCAGCAGCAACAGCAACAGCAGCAGCAGCAGCAACCGCCACAGCAGTTACAACAACAAACTGTGTCGCCACAAACTCAACAAATACAAAATATTTCCTCTCCAATGGCTATCAATCAACAACAAAATCAGATACGTCCAAATATGTTCCAACCAAATATGCTGCAAGGAAGACCCCCTCCACAACAACAACCAGGAATTCCCAACAATACGAATATTGCTGTCACCATGCAACAGCAACAGCAAATGCTTGCACTTCAAAGAACGGCTACTCAAGCTATGGCTGCTGCTGTTACTGCAGGCAATAACAATACCATTGTTGGGCCTAACGGCGCAACAGCCGCCCAAATTGCTGCTAATGTTAGTACTGCTCAACAACAAATATCTATGAATGTTTTACAAAACCTTAATATGGCTGCTGTCAATCAAGCAGCCATATCTATGTCACCACGCCAATTTCAGTTGTTTCTTGCTCGTCAAATCTCTATGCATCAACAGGACCCATCGATATTAAATAGAAATATACCACCTAATCAAAACTTCCGCCCTCCTGTTACTAACGCTGGTTCCCCAATACAAGCTAATAATAATTTTGCTACTGTAAGTTATATATATATATATGTATATAATTTTGTAATTTACTAATTAGTTTGACTTAGGCTGTTGGTCAACAACAACAAACGCAATTGAATCCTGAATTGTTGATACAGCATTTACAGGCTCAACAAGCACGTGCTCAACAACAAGCACAACAAGTCT